TCTCGTAATATACGCATATTATGCACTTTTTTACTTTGTAACTTCGCAGTTAGATATGAGAACATCTTTTAATAGCTTACATTCATTATGTGCCGACCACAATAACTACTTGTATTTTGAAAATACGTGCAAATTTTAAAGCATTCTAAAAACCTAAAATATTAAAATAATCAACATGACTTTCTACTACAAATGTGCGACATCACAATAATAAAAATACAAAAAATGATTTAATGTCCTTTCCAGGTTTATGACGAAAGCAAAAAAAAAGGATTTCACCAGCAGGGTTTCACAGTGTCCCATGCAAATACTAGCCACGCCTGATCGATCTTAACTTTTGTGGTAGGTCGATCACCTGTCCGCTCAGCTATTGGGATCATTTGAATTTTATTCGAATTGGCGGCAATTTAATGTTTCAAAATGTTCGTGTCTGTGATAGAACCAGCTGGTTTTGTCAAGGGGTCTCCCATGCAAGCATAACTAATTTTACCCGAATTGGTGGCTATTTCATGTTTGTTTTATAATTGATATCTTTTGCACAAGTAACTTCTTGAATTGGCCTTTGACATCTACATGCTTCGTGGTACAGAAAGGTAATTTAACGACACTTTATAAAGTATTTAGTCACATTTTCAAATTTACAACTGCAAGGTTTTATATGTCAACAACTTAGATCGAATATACAAATACATCTATTAGTTTTGCAATCGCTTTGCACAACTTTGCATGGTGTGTTAACCACTTAAAGCCACTATATGCCGAGAGCATCAACAACTTGTTATCTGATCATTAGAATGAATTTGAAAACATTTTCAATATACTGTGTAAAAACATCAAACAGAACAAAGTCAACTCTGAAAAGGTGAGATCAACAGGAACTCTCGCATATTGAGAGCATTCAAATCACGCATTCTTTATTGATTTTTGTTGTGCATACCTGTTTTACAAAACGGCTGTGTCATACCTCTAGGTACATAATTTTGACAACAATCAATCATACATCCAGAAACATTTTGTGATCTTTTAAAAAAACAAGAATTTTGTTTTTCTCAAAAAATTTACCCAACCACAGAGCTGGTAACTTGAGATTTTCACCAGCCCAACATGCCAGGCGTATGGGCGGGCAGTAATTACAAACAAGTTGGTAGTGTAGTGTAAGATGTTAGCATCGAGAATCAACACTGCCAATTAAAATGATTATATTATGCGTTTTTTATATGATGTGTCACAGTGTAAGGCCTGCTTATTGATGTTGAGAGGAACCCAACAGAGTTCACACTGCACTTGGGGTTCTTTCAATACTAGAATGGGACAGACAAGACAATAGTACTGGACATGAAATACACACACGCGCATGGGCGCACACACACACGCGCTTGTACCAAGTAAACAACTCAGCACCCCATCCAAATTACATTGCCCACAATGCACTAGTGTAATCCCAGGGATTGAAGAGCCGGGGTTTAAAATAGTGAGAAGAAAGTTGTTGTCTCTACTAGGAGTCTACAACTGTCCTCTATCAAAAGTTAGCATCACACTTAAAGCAATGAGTACAAGGCAAAGAGTAGTGTAAGTTATCATGCATGCCTGATACTGTGTTTTCTTTTGTATTTTATTGAACATAATCAACAACACCACCATAATTACAAATAAATATTCATTTTTTCCATAAATGACTGTATTCTCCAATGTCAAAACTGTCTTCAAAATCTTCCTCAATAACTGTTTTCTTCTTTGGTTGAAATTGTGTAAGCCTTGCTTTCTTTTCTTCATCAGTCAATGCATTTAGATCAATGGGCAACTGAAAGTCAATGCAAACATGAAACACTTGGCTTAATAATGCAAATCCTGGGTTCCAAGTTCACTTGCAGCTCAGTATCATTTTGATTTTTCATGTATGGCAGGCATACAGTCGCTAGTTTAATACTTGATGTGGGACTTTTTGAGTAGGAGTATAGTTTTCTTGTCAGTGATGCATGTATTTATCTTGGTAAGGAATATACATCTCACATGAAACTGAATTTTTTTTGTAATAATCATATTTACAGAGTTACACAGCAAATACAATTAGTTAAATTAGAGCAAAATGAAGAACCTTATTAAATTTGGCTATTAGAAACACACCAGAAAGCACCAGAGTGAACAGTTATAGAATGTTAATAAATACTGTCTGGTCTGCTTAGCATTTTGACAGTCAAACCTGTCTATAAAGGACAGTCAGTGGACTGAGCCAAAGTGTCCTTTATAGACAGGTGGCCTTCATATGGAGGTACTAATTTATTCATTCAATCATGAATATTGAAAAAGGGCGGGGATTTTAAGGGAGATCATAAGCTACACAAAAAAGCAAACCTACACATTGTACAATAAATAGGTGTTTTTTAATGATAGTCACTCATTTTCATCTGGATAATTAGTTTTACTTTTTTATTACAAATTATATCATGTAAATTCATTGGAACCAAGTGATTCTGCCCATGGATTCATTCATTTATTTATTTAATGCATAACGACAATGTAACAATTGTCAACGATTAGACGCAAAAAAAACTTTTCACTTCTTCGCAGTAGTATTGTTAGTGTATTGTATTGTACTGCACTGCACAAGTATATTGTGATTCGTTATGTGTTTGTAACATTATTCAGCTTATTTAGCATTCGGTTAATTTTATTTCAGTTTAGTTTAGTTTATTTTATACGAACATAGAACAACTCACTGTAGTTTGTTTTAGTGTTGAATAAATATTATTATTATTATTATATGGAAATTGTGTTTATATCAAGTTCAAATACCTTTCTTTATTTACAGAAAGGCTATCAATGTGTGGTGGAAATAAAATCCTTTCACTACATAGCAAAAAGCGTTCTTCATTACCATTTCAAGTTATTATATCTCACTTAGTTATTACTACAAGCAGGAAAAAGATATATAATAAGTTTATTATGAGAATATCGCAAGTTATGCACTCGGGCATCAACCTCAGTTACATGACGATTAATATATGCCCCTTGTACTAGATGCCTCTGTGCATACTTTGCGGTATTCTTGTAATAACCTCATATTCACGTTATTACCTTCAATATTTTCCTTGGTTCGTGATATTTGATATTTATCGTTGATCCATCAGGATTTACTAGCAGGCATGGGTAAAGACGTGGATAGATTGTACGGTTCAGTTTCGTTACAGTGCTCTATTGGAGCCATTTCTGACTTGCAACCCATTCACTGTCAGGTCTTGCAGCGATCTACATCTTAAACACAAACTGCTCAACAATTTTGAACTTCTGTTAAAAATATAAGAAAACATGTGTACAAGTGACTTTTTGTGCAAAATTGTGAACCAATGTGTGAATGAGCAGTCGACGACAGAATGTAAATAACGCCAACTACGACAACGCATGGGTAACTGAGACTTCCTCTCCATGACTATAATATTTATCTATCTTAATGCCTGCTGTCAATTTAGTAATGTTATATTAGTTAGTATTATAGAGATCTCGTATTATTTAGTAATTTAGTGATTGTATTTGTTATTTAGTATATTGTGTTTTTTTGTTTTGTTTTTTATATATATTTTTCTCCTTGTACTTTGTGACCATTTTCTTTCCCTCCGGGGATTGTGTAAAAGTCAATAAGTAAATAAATTGCCAACCCCTATACTAAAAGTTAAAGATTTCAATTATCTTGGCTTAACTATGAGTCCAAATGGTAAATTTAAAGATGCAATGAAAAACCTAAAAAGAAAAGGAATAAAAGCCTTATTCTCATTAAAGACCAAAATTGGATCTGGTAATCTGGACATGTCCATACTACTGTCACTATTTGATAAACTTATCAGACCAGTTATTGTGTATGGGAGTGACATTTGGGGAGAAGAAAGCTCTACAAAATCAATTGTAGAGGATGTTCAGCTTACATACTATCGGTACATTCTTGGTATCTCAAAAAATACACCAATCATGGCAATATATAGTGAATTGGGAAAATTACCTCTTGACTCTTTTATTAAGAAACAAATGATAAAATATGCCAATCGTATTGCAAATTCCACAAATACTCTACTTCAAGAAGCATACTATGTCAATAAAATTATTAAAAGTAAATGGTTTAAAAAACTTGATCTGATATTAAATAATATTAACCATTCTTATCTTTTAAATGAAACAAATATTATCTCATTATCAAAATTAAAAACAATTGATGAGAAATTAAAA